CCAAATCAGACCTATAGCAGCTCGAATGACCCGAACTCAACCCGTTAATATGTTTTGGTTAAAAAAAAAAACAACTTAAGGAAAAAATTATAAGTTATTAAGTATAAAGTTTGAGATATTTGATAAAAAAATAAAAAAGAATATACATAGAAGTGAAAAAAATGAAGGAAAAATATATTGAATGGGTCATGTTTGTATAAAAATGGGTTGGCAGGTCAGCTCGAATCTGATCCACTTAATAAATGGGTCAAAAACATAACCTGAACTAAACTTATTTATTAAACGGGTCAATCCGAACCCAAAATTTCTGTAAATTATATAAATTTTATTGACAGATCGAATCATTTTTTGGGCGAATTATTGCGTCCGGTCACCGGATGTCCGGATGTCCGGACATCCAATCCGGTGACGCCATGTCACCCAAATACATTGGGTCCTGATGTATTTGGGTGACGTGGAGACACTGAACGCAATAATTTGCAAATTTTTTGACACCTCTATTCCTACTAGCAAGTTGATAATTGACGGGTAGGTGCTTATTTTCAAAGCAATTTATACATATAAAAGAAGATGGGGTGCACACTGAACATTGAATGACAAGCATCACTTCAACAATACATATATAACATATGATTTGTCTGCTGACTTATCTTACAGCTGAAGCCGCTTAAACAAAACGCGATTTCATAGTTTATTTGAAATCTGATCACAAAACTGCTAAACGTGCAAGCAGCTTCAACTATTTCCAAACAACTTACTCATTGCATTATTATATGTAGAAAATTGGCTATCACCCTGGCCAATATTCCAGGACCTGATCACCTGGTTGTCCTCTAACAATAAAGAAAACTAGAAAAAAATTATTTTTAAGAAAATTAAGAAGATGTGCACGTTTTGGGTCAAGATTGCTTTATTAGATTTTAATCAAATAGATTTAGAAGTTGTTATGTTTTTGTTTAATTTATAATAACTTGTTTTTCTTCAAGTTTTTGGAGTGTGGATCCTTAGAAAAGTGCTGATTTGAACAATAACCTTACAATGCGAAGAAAATTTTGATTCATGTGATGATAAGAATGTGATTTACAATAAATAACAACAACAACAATATCAAGTCTTTATCCTTATACCTCCAACAAGGAGCAAAAATTAAAACAACTGCTAAGAAAATCGAACACCAGTGAAGAGGGCGAAGATGCCAGCCGGACTCATGAAATGACAAGAAGCTCGTGCAACCACCCAAAAACCAAGCAAGGACCATCCATTGGTAGTAGCAAATGACAAACTTAGTAGAAGATAACCAACAAGCAACAACCGACAAAACAAACAAAGGCTCTCGAACATAATGAGAAGAGAGACCACCACGTTTGCCAACAATCGAAGGCTATCAAGGTGGTGAACAAAAGTAGTAGCCTCAACATTGATCGGATCTCCTACAGTAAGCAAACAACACAAAAAGAAGGCTCATAACTGAAAAAGCATATCAACTAGGTGAGGAAAAAGAAAACATAAGAGAAGGCCACCATAGAGAACAATTTAATTCCTCTTCAATTTTCTCCCACTGTGTTTCCCACCTCCACAAGAGAAGGCTTGTTCCACAACATGCCTCACCTTCAAACCAAATAACTCTTGAAAATCATCCACATGCTCAACGACATCATCTCCAGCACCCTCGCAGACCAATGATAAAGAATCATCCAACCAATCAGATAATTCCTCGGTATTGTTATTCAAATTCAAAGCCAGATGAGTTTTCAATGAAGCATTAGAAATAATTGAAATTAGAACATCATTAATTGGAACATTTCCCTTAATAACCTCACAATTAGGAAACAAAGGCAATCCTAAAGAAGCCCAGGATGATTCAAGATTAGTCTCATTCAAATCGCTAGGTAACTTATTTTAAAATAATCTCGTTAACATCACACACTTCCATGTTTGCTTGGCATCAAAAACAAGAACAACAGTTGATGTTCTATCCTAAGAACCCACCCCATCAATAAGCGAGGGATCCAACCCCTCAAAAGGAGAAACAAACTTTATATTAGGATTATCTGAACCATCAACAACATTTAGGGCAGGAGCTAAAATGGGGCTAGATAAATGGTTCACAATAGTCAAATCAATAGTCATGCCCTCAAAATTGACACTAGGTAAACCAAACAGAGAAATAATATATGTTGGAGCATCCTTATGCATTTCCCCATCAACTTGAGAATCAATCCCAATAACCACATTGTGAACACTCGGCTTTGGAACAAGAGCAGGGGTCATCAGAGGATTAGTAACCATAGGATTAGGAAAATCAATTGCTTCTTAATCTAACACATCAACAGAGCCATTCCCCATATAAAGAGTAACATGATCAATAGCAATTAGAGGCACCTTGTGGGAATGGGGGTGAAGCAAACTACAATTATTTTTGGAATGACCCAGGGATTTGCAATGATCAGAAAAGGAAGGAAACTCCTCCAAAAAAAACTTGTTGAACATAACCTAGATTATCTGGACCAATCCAAACAGCCTCAGGGTAGGATTTGGAAATATCTAACTCGTCGAGGACCCGTGCAATAGACGGTTGCAAGCCAACAACGATAGCATGATCAATTTTAATAGGACGACCCAATAAAAGGCCTAAACCATGAAGAATGTGTGGGAAAAAAAGATGTGGCCTAAGGAGCCTTCAGGCTTTTCCAAGCTGTTTTGTACGAAATGAGCTGGAACATGAATTCCAAACTTATTAATTTGTACCCAAATCAAAATGATTGGAGACACCACTGAGATATCAAAAAAAGGCAATCATTTAATTAATTTCATGAAGCAACTGACAACAAATTAGAAACGATGGGGAAAAAACCCTACTATAATCCAAATCAATAAGCAGCTTGATTAAAACTTTCCTTGATATATGCACGTAGATATATGTGCAAAAAATATGACGATTAATGCATATACATCAGGATTTTCAACTTAAACTCGATAGAATCTGGTCAAAACTCTAACAACCAAAAATAAAGGAAAAAATATTTCATACAGCAGTATCAATACAATTCTTTATCTCACAACCTGATGTCAACTACATGAATCTTTTTTCACCATTGTGTCAAAAAATATAAAAAATTCATTCATACATAAGTCAATTCATTTTTCAACTGATTGAAATTTTATATTTCTTTCTTTGGAATATGAAAATCCATATTTCCCTTAAGAAAGTATCACTATAAACATGCAAAATCAATAAGCATTACAACTTTGTTAAGAAATTAATTTTTCAAACCTCCTTTGAATAACAACTATTATAAATTCCTAAATTGATGTCGGAGCTGCCTAACCCTATTAACTTCAACCCAGATTAAATTCCTATGGTAGTATGGTTATATTGGAATAATGTATTCTTATGTGTGCGTAGCCTAGTATGTTGCTATATATAATTTTTTAGTTGCGATTCCTATAGCATGCGTCCTGTCCATCGCCTGTTTCTTCCTTCCGTTTGATGTCATTTGGTATCAAAGCTGTCTAAGATGCCGCCTCAACGAAATCACCAGCTGTTTGTTCCAGAAGCAATGATTGAAGATATGCATTGATGGAAAATGTGGTTGTTGATAAGATGAAAGTGAGAAGTGTATCGAGCTGAAATACATTGCTCTTAGTGTACTTGCAATCAAGGTGGATGAACATTACTCGATCCCACTCTGAAGATACTAGCAAACAAAGCATCATGTCCTGGAATGCAATAATTGTAGGCTAAAATCAGAATGGATTGGATCTTGAAGCTAATGTCTTCTTCTCTAAAATGCTGAAAGATGCAAAAATAGTTCCAGATGATTTCACAATCACTAGTGTTCCATTAGCTTGTGCTAATCTTGAGAAGTTGAAGATGGATAGGCAAATTGATTCCGGGTGGATCTATCTGAACTAGTTCAACCAACCAAACCCACCTTATTGTTGCCAACCTGCCAGCGTACTACAAGCCTGAAGTTCCACCTACCCCAATAAAATGACGCTAGAGGTACTTAACCTTGTTCACTTCAGCCAAGATTAAACTCGTATGGTATTTGGTATGGTTGTATAGGAGTAATGTTATCTTATGTGTGTGTAATCTTGTATGTTATATATAATACTTATAATGAGGTTAGAAAACATAATAAATGATTTGAGTTTAGTTCTCGAGTGTTTTGTATCCTGATAACTTTAGGTAGTGTTATCTATCAAAGATATTCATTTTTGGGTATTATTTTTTAGCAGTGATTCCTATAGAGCACATCCTATTTGTCCCCCGTTTCTCCCTCCTGTCCGATGTCATAAATGTACCTGAAATCTTTATAATTAACATAACATTAAAATAGAATTAATTATCACAATAAAAAATTCTTTAAGAAAATCTAAATAAAGAATTCTATTCATATCCTTGGAATTCTTAGATTTCACTCAAACGCTAACCTTATTACAAAGGTTAACCACAAGGTAGTCAACATTAACAATTTTTTAATATTTAATTTTAGATTGGATCTAATACTCTCGGCTTCTTAATAATAACATAAAAATATAAAAAATAATATTCTTAATAAAGTTAGTTAATAAAATTAATAAATGTTCTCTTTTAGTAATTACAACATTAATGCCTCTCCCCAATAGTCACATAGCCGTAGCTCCACAAGAATTATTTACTGCTTATTTTATCAAAACAGTTTGTATTAGGAATATTGTTTAAATATTAAACAAAAAAAATTAATAATTATTATTAGATTAAAAATATCATTTGTTAAGTTAAAATTATATATTTTATAATAAATTAAATTAGATTATTTTTTTATTAATATTAAATTTATATATTCTGCTTTAGAAACCTGTATAAAAAAATTATGAAAAAGAAACATATTTTGTGGGTCTACAACATCTTTGTGCTTTAAATAAAAATATTTACAATGAAGACCTAAATCAACAGTATAAGCTAACAAATATTATATTACAAACAAATAAAAAATTTTAATAATAGCTATAAAGTTAATAGAATAACCTAATATTTTTAAACATTTATAGCAGTAGATAGAAAATTTACCATTTTAATATTACATAAATTTATTTCAGACTAACATCTGTAATAAATAAATCAAGAGAGCAGATCATTATTTTTGAAGCCTCTTATCAATAGATAACAGTTTTGGGTGTTTTCTACAAAATTTCCCAAAGTTCAATGGATTGTCTCAATTCAGGCTTAAACTAATCTCTAAGACTTGATATTCCATAAATCATAGAAGCAGAACATTTGCTTTCTTTGAAACCAATATGTTCCTTCCACAAAGAGAGCCCTACTGATCTCAGCAGGAATCTAATGAATTCCCAAATAATTCATCTTCCTTTTGGCAGGCAAGTCTTTCCCCAGGCTCTTTTCTCAGTTCTTCTACTATCGGCATCAGCCATCCTTCTCTTCATTTCCTTCTACTTCAGCAACCTCTTAGCTCCATTCCAGAACAAATTCTCAGTTCCTTCCTCCTCTACTTTGTCAACACTGCTCTTGTTACCTAATACTTCTTCTTCTTCTTTTGTTTCTTCATCCTTGTCTTCTTTCCCCTTCTCCACCTCCTCTTCTTCTTCTTCTTCTTCCACATCCACTTCTGATAAAAAATGCAACATATCGAAAGGGGAATGGATCAGAGATCCAAAGGAGCCATACTACAGCAACATTACATGCTGGATGATACAGGAGCACCAGAACTGCATGAAGTATGGGAGGCCTGACATGGAGTTTTTGAATTGGAGGTGGAAGCCAGATGGCTGCGAGTTGCCGGCCTTCGAACCGGTTCGATTTCTTGAGCTTGTGAGGGGGAAGTCCCTAGCCTTTGTGGGGGATTCTCTCGCCAGGAACCATATGCAGTCATTGATGTGCCTTTTGTCCAGGGTAAGTCCTGCTTTCAGCCATTTTCTTCTTCTCTGATGACCTTAATTTGCTTTAATCTCTGAAGGTTCTTGTAGATGCATAATTACTTGTGTTTTAGAATGAAATTTGCTAGCAGAGTTATGGTTTTAAACAATCTATTAGAATGTCTCATGAAGGTTTTATTCTGAGATTAAGAGGTAAAAACGAACCAAATCCATGTTAATTACCAACGGTAACATTAGTAGGAGGACTAATTAATTTAATGATACTTTAGTTTTTTAAGTTTTAGTTAATGAAAAAGATTAGTAATTAATTGTTTATCCGTAAGGCTATCTTTTTGCAAGCAAAGTTCTACTGGCACAAATATTTTTTTATTTGTAATTAACCAGTGATTAGCAAAGGCCATTGGATTAATTAATTACCTAATTGTCAACCTGATGCCTGTTATTAATTATTGTAATTTGTTAAAAGTATGTCTGTGCTATAATTTCAAAGAATAATGACCAAAAATATCATTTAAATACTAAATGTTAACATGATTAGTTCGAACAATCTGTCAAAGTCTTAGTTAATAGCACATGATTACAGATTAAACAAGCAACCACCAAAGTGATTAGCAAATTAATTTAGTAGATGTAGACTCATTAACATATTGATTAAGAAAACGGATTAAGATTTCTTCTACCATTAATGATGAAGTGCCAATGCGTTGCCTAAAGATAGTAATCTGATAATTTTTTTTATCTCTGAATGACATGACCTCGAATAGTGCTCCTTCAACTACTCTCCATTGCCGCAACCTGTGAGCTTACAGTTGTGAGAAGCAGCTCTGTCATTTATTGGTTTCAAAGGAAGACTATTTAAACATGTAAACAAATCGTTCTTGCCACGTTGTTAGAACCAATATTAAAATATCATTTTTTGCACATGCTAAAAGTTTTCTATATTAGAGAGAGAGAGAATAGATATAAAAAGTTAAAAATTTATAATCAATTTATAAATTGTTGGGATTTTTTATTTGATTAGATTTTCTTCACTCCAACAAGGCTTAGTGGTGGATTATTATTTTGTTATTTTAGAATTTATTTATCTTTTTTTCTTGTCGATTCGGGGTGTGGATTATTAAAGATATATAATGAAAATAAATGATATGTCATAGTCCCATCAAATCGAGTCGATTTGGGAGTGAGTAGCCCACTTTGAACCCACCTAGAAGGTTAGGTGATGCGAAGATGTATGGTAGAGTTTCGACTAAATGGTTGAGACAAATAAATTTATTTGGTGTAATGGAGTGTAGGAGGGCCAAAAGGAAGTGATTTGGGGCTTAGGGAACTTTGGGAAGCTTTGTTCTAAAGATAGTTGAGAGCTATAAATAGGAATGAGATTTGGGTTGATTTTAGATGTTTATTTTTGTATGATGTTTAAGGAAATTTATGTCAAAAATATGAGGGGTATGTAAGGAATTTTTATTGCCTCAGGTTACCTGACGTAGAGATACATCAGGTAGCTTATAATATATCACTACGTGCTCTTACTCTTTACCGCGCGGCCCGATGACCCAACCCGGAACGAATATGCTCCGTATTGCTAGGTAATACTCGGTATTTTCTCAGTATTTGCTCGGTATTGCTCGGTATTTGATTGGTATTTGCTCGGTATTGCTCGGTATTACCATCGGCCACGTTCGCTACTCCACCGCCGGTTCCGCCTCCTCCCTCGCCAACGTCCAGCCCTTCCACAAGTTCCACATTCGGCCGGATAAGCTTGACCTTGCGCTGCGCGACTTCGATGTATCTCTCCGACCGGGTCTCCTCGAACGCGTCATATGTCGTTGCGGCCCCGCCGCTGATCTTGCCATCTCTTTCTTCTTGTGGCTCTCCCGTCGCAGACCTGATCTCCCCCAATCTGCCGCCGCCCACCGCGCCCTCCTCTCCTCCCTCACGCGTGCCCGTCACTTTGGCGCCTCCTGGGCCCTCCTCGATCGGATGCGCCGCGAACTCCCCGATGCCCTTACCACCGACGTCTTCGTCGCCCTCATTCGCCGGTTCGCCGCAGCCCGTATGGTTTCCAAGGCCGTTCAGGTACTTGATGAAATGACAGGAGGAGGCGGAACCGGCGGTGGAGTAGCGAACGTGGCCGATGGTAATACCGAGCAAATACCGAGCAATATCGAGCAAATACCGAGTAGTACCTAGCAATACCGAGCAAATACCGCGCATATTCGTTTCGGGTTGAGTCGTCGGGCCGCGCGGTAAAGAGTAAGAGCACGTGACGATATATTATAGGCTACCTGATGTATCTCTACGTCAGGTAATTTGAGGCAATAAAAATTCGTATGTAAGAGCTTTGTAGGTTGGTGTATAGAAGTTTCTAGGATTAAACAAGATCTATAAAAAAGTAATTAGATTGGAGTTGATATTAGGTGGCTAATTTTATGTGGATACTAAGGCTTCGTTTGGGACGGCTTTTTTACTGCTTCTTGAAGCAGCTTTCTAGTACAAAAATTTTAATTTTTATACTAAAAAATTGCTTCAAGAAGCAATAAAAAAAGCCATATCAAACGAAGCCTAAGAGATGGTTATGTAGGAAAATATGATGGTTATAGATGTTTTATGATTGAGTTAAGATGTAGGAAAAATAGTGCACGAGTTTTTTTAGGTTTATAGTGTGAAAGTTTTGTTGCGTGTATAAAGTCAGTGAAAAAATTAGTGGTTACATTGTGATATATTTTAATTTGTAGAGAGTATGAGAAAAAAGATAAATGTATAGAAATTTTGAGAGAAGCTCCAAAATATTCGAGGAGTGGAAATGTAAATAAAAGGAAGAAAATATAAAGATAAGAATGATAGCAGTAATAATAATAATTTTCTCACAGAAGATGATAGTTTATCAAAAGCATGCTTACAACATAACATTCTTCATATTTAAAAGTGGACGAAGGATGAGAAGACGAAATATTAAAAGTTAAGTAGAACATATATCATAATATGCCAGAGAGTTTTTAAGCACTTGATTTTTAAAGTAGATCATAGTTTATCGATTTGCTTCTTTTGAATATAAGCAAACAATCTGATCTCTTAAATGGATTCAAGAAGCTTCTAATTATTTTTTTGAGTGCTTGATTTAGTTCATTTAGACTCAAATTTAGAAATTTTTGGTAGTATCTCATCTCATTGATATTCTAGTCTATGCAAAAAGTTAGTAGAAAAAAAGAGTTTAGATGGCCTTGAAGTCAATTTTTAAAGTTTTTTATGTAAAGGTTTTAGTACATTAAGATCCAAGTATAGCATCAGGATTCATATTTTAATGAATTAATTTTAATTACATATCAATTAGTAGAATAAAGACTTGATGTTATTGTTATTGTTGTTGTTTTTATTGTTGTATCAATTATATTTTAGAAGATTCATACATATCACCTTGATTTTCAATTGCTTAAATCAAAAGGTATAATATATCTAATACAAAAACCGGTAAAATATATTTCTTACTTGCTAGAAAGCAATTGAGCTCCTAATATGTTCCAAAAGAATAACTACTGATCATGTAAAACATTGTCTTATCTCATTTTCTTTCTTCCACTATGTTTTGGAGTGTGGATTGAATGACATCAAAGTTTGGCAAATCATTTAGAGATAAAATTTATTTTTTATCTTAAATTTTAAATCTTTTTGTAAGTGTCAACTATTTGTTCTTAGACATCAATATATTTTTCAAATGTCTCTAGAATATTATATGTATGGATATAACATCCCATCTAATATATACTTTAACTATTTTTTTCTGATGACAACATTTCATGGAAATCATATAACACCATGCATTTCAGGTGGAATATCCAAAGGACATATCCAACACCTCTGATGAGAACTTCAAACGCATGTTTTATACAAACTACAACTTCACCATCTCTATTTTTTGGTCTCCATTCCTAATAAAAGCTAGGGAAACAAATCCACAAAGCTCATCAAGGGTTAACTATATGTGGAACCTCTACTTGGATGAAGTAGACACTAAATGGGCAACCCAAATAGACGAATTCGACTACTTGATCATATCGGCAGGTAATTGGTTCACTCGACCATCATTATTCTACGAAAAGGGTCAGCTTATTGGGTGCAACTATTGTGATCAATACAACAATGTAACTCAACTAACATTACATTACTCTCATAGAGAAGCGTTTAAAACTGCTTTTCACGCCATTAACAAACTCAAAAAATTCAAAGGTATCATTTTTCTAAGAACTTTATCTCCTTCACATTTTGAGAACGGAGAGTGGAATAAAGGAGGTAATTGTGTCAGGCAAAGACCGTTTCAACGTAACGAAACAACATTCGAGGGTTTCGAGCTCGAGTTTTATAAGGCTCAAATCGAGGAGTTTAGGGTTGCAAAGGAAGAAGGGAGGAAAAGGGGGTTGGAGTTCAGGTTATTGGATACAACAGAAGCTATGGTTTTAAGGCCCGATGGGCATCCTAGCCGGTATGGGCATTGGGCTCAAGAGAACGTCACCTTGTACAATGACTGTGTCCATTGGTGCTTGCCAGGGCCTGTTGATGTATGGAATAGCTTTCTCTTGTATAATTTATAGGCACCTAAAAAATGATTTGATTTAATCATTTTCCTCACTTTAATTGTTTTTTAGAGATGGCAAATTATGTAAGGATCTATAATTTGTTTTTAATTTATATTCATTAATTAAAATTTTTATTTTGTGCAAGAGCATTGAATAGTGAATAACATTAACAAGAGGTTTGGCCTTGTTTGGTAATGCTTATTTTCTGTCTATGATTTCAACAGCACATACACTTATATATATGAAGAAGTTTATAGATTTACATATAAAAAAATGATCATTTAATTCAATATAAATAAAATACACAATATAATCATGTTAAATCATATGAAATCTTAGCAAATGATGTGATAATTATTAAATATTGGATAAATAAATAGATGTTTGATATGTACTTATTAGAGAGGCTTAGATATATTTATATATATAATTTCTATTGTTTCTTTGTTTAGGTAATCAAGTAATTTTAAAAAGATTATATTATTGCATTTTAGCTAGCATCTATCCTCATATGTTTTGAATTTATAATTCTTAAATGTCTTAGAAATATTTAATAAATATTTTACAATTTTTGGGTATTTTAGTAATTTTGATTTGCATATGTTGATAAAATATTTTGTCTTTTTTTTTTTCTCTTGTGAAAGGAGACTCAAATTTTAGTAACTTTAAATTAATTTCAGTCAGAAATAATTAGATGTTATATGGGATTTCAAAAAAAATAATCAAGTCATCTAAATTTTTTTTAGATGTAAAAAATATTTATAAAATATATTTGTGAATCATATTTTGTCAAAATATATGATGTAAAAACCCTAAATTTGCTATCTACATTAATAACTTCACATGTACATTTCTATAGGTATATGCATATTGCCCAAATAAATCACCACCACTCAACTATCATAAATTGAGCTAATCTTGACCATTGATGGAAAACATATATCTACTACAACGTACAACTAACATCTTTATCTGAGTTTGTGAAAACATATATATATCTACTACAATGAGTAGAGTATGTTTTCATAAACTCAGAAAAAGATGCTAGTTGTTGTAGTAGATATCAGAAAATATATGATGTCATAAATTTTTTTTATTATAATTATACTTATGATTGTCTAATCATTTAATTATATTAAAGAATAACATACATATTGTGACTATCATAGGTTAGTCTGTGTGGAATCTAATTGTGTAGATCAATCAAGTTATACTGTTATCTAGAACCTCAGTTCAATTTGTTGTGCTCGCTGGGGGGTGCGTGTCATACAATGTCCATGCGTTGTATACCCAAGCACCCCGACGTTGTGTTCCTAAGTGCCACAGCATTGTGTTCTCGAGCACTCGGCCGGTGCTGCAAAGTTTGTTGGGAGAAGCGATAGAGAGCTTAACACCACGACGCTCTAAATTTGGCGCCACAGTGCTCTAATTTCGACGCTGCAGCGCTGTTAGATGGACATATGACGAATGTTTGAACACTGCAATACTTCGAGGTAGACTAGCCATTTTTTTTTTCTTAAGGGTAGCATCCCTTGGTATTATTTACTTAACTTTCTCTTTTATTTTGTGTATGAGAATAGTATATGAATCAAGAGAAGGAAGGAAAGAGCAAAAGAGAAGAGGGATCTGTAAGAATACCTCCCAATTTTCATAGTGGGTTTTGAATTTTTCCACATTAAATCCTGGTGCCCTCTTATTTCCGTTGTTTTATATTTCTTGTTTTGTGTTGGCTACATGGCTTACTTCCGCCCCCAACACCATAATCAATATTTAAGATATTCAACTCAATATAATTGATGGCTTAATTATTCATAAACATCTGACTCACTATTATTCAACTCAGCCTGAGTAATTAAACAATTGATTAAGAATAGAGACAAGACATATCATCATTCAATCTTCGAAGATTTTTTAATATATTCAGAAACATAATTAAGCCGTCCTACCAAAATGTCCCTTCAATAATTGAACTCTTAATTAAGCACGATTGATCAATCTAAAGATAATCAAGCAAAATTTAATTGCATTCATTTGAATAATTTATAGACAAATGACTTAATTATCAATAAAAAAAGTTAATTAAGAAGTAATTAGACAAATGACTTAATTATCATCTGAATTGGTTGAATGTTTCGTCGGATTGTGATTATGAATTCGAATTTTCTGAATGTGGCTTGACCTCTTCGGATTTTTGTGGGGGTTCTTACCCTGGTAACGTTCTCACTCTGGTTCATGCTAGACCGGCTTTATCTGTTGCATCTCGGGGAAGATTTCGTGGAAGAGGCCGACGTAGATGTTAATATGCTTGGGCTCTGTTGTTTTTTTCCTGTTCTCTTTATGGTTTTATGTGCGTGTTTGCTGCTCGATTTGTTGATGCGTTGGATTAAGGGATATGATGTGGTCGGGGCTCGCGTCACTGTCGTCTTGCTGGTGGCAACCTTTGGTGTGGTTTTTTTCGGGTCTGTTGGTAGTTGGTCGCTGCTCCCACCTTACTGGATGGTCCGTGCGTGGCTTCAAGGTTGCTGGAAGCCTTGGTCGATTACTGAGCCCGCCTTTTTGATTGTATTTTTCCTCTTATTTATTTTTTCCTTCTCTTCTACTGTTGTAACCTCAGTTTTTTTATTTATTAAATTCTCTTTTTCTTAAAAAAAAAAAAAGATATATGCCTAGTCGCCCCCTCTAGGTGGTTGACCAACGTTTATGATGAACATTTGTCAAAAATAATTAGAAACAAGTTTTTAATTGAAATTGTCTAAACAGAGAAATATTAATGAGACTCAGATCCGCTTGGGACTGCTATAATTTTTTCTAAATGTGATTATAAACTTGTTGTTAGGGGTGTCAATATTTGACACGACACGAAAACCCGACCTGGAAAATCCGGGTTGAACCCGACCCGATTTCAAAACGGGTCGGGTTCGGGTTCCAGAAATCGACCCGCCCAAGAAATTCGGCCTTAAGAAGACTACTTGACGCAAATGGTCTAAACAAATTATCACAATATATATCAGGATTTTATAATAATCTTCTATAACAACACAAAGAATTTATAAAAAGAATCAAATAATAAACTCGAACATAAATGCAACCATTAATTATAACAATTTATTAATTACAGAGGGCCTCATAGTAAAAATTCTTCATTAATTAACTAATTATGCTTTACATTTTGGATATTCCACGTGGCAAGCTATTGAGCAATAGAAAGGCAAAAATAAACAATAATTCAACCACCGGATTTAGGCTTAAAATTAAAACAAGGATAAGCACAGCATAAACCACTTTTTCTTATATTTTTGGTCTATCATATGAGGCGGCCTGAAAAGTCTCCCATCAAATTCTCTCCACCTCTCTTTCTCCATCTTCCCCTCTCTTTTTGCAAACATAATTCCTTCTTCCAAAGAAGGATTTCATGAAGACTCGAGGCATCGAGATCTCCTATGGGAGGCCAATCTTCAATTTCTTCGCTGCTCTGAAGGTTTTTCTTCTCACAGCTCTCATCGTCCTCTTCCTCAATGTCACCTTCACTCTCTATACAAATGTTTCTACACATTATTATACCTATCCTCATCCCCCTTTCTTAAAGATTACTTCTTCCTCCACCTTCTCTATTTCTTCTTCTTCCACCTTTTTCTCCTCTTCCTCTTCTTCCTCATCATCTTCTTCTTCCTCTTCTTCTTCTTCTTCCTATGATCCTAAATCCAATCCATCTCCTCCTCCTCCACCTCCTATACTAAACCCTTCTTCCTCTTCTTCTTATTCAAATTCATTGACAATCAATCCACCTCCTCCATTGTTAACATCTTCTGCAAAACCAGTTCCTTCTCCTCCCAAATTACAGAAAACTTCATCTTCCACTTACAATCAATCAACAGCCAAAAGAAAGAGATATGTAAAAGGATGTGATCTCTCAAAAGGAGAATGGGTTGCAGACCCAAACGCACCATACTACACAAACTCAACATGCTGGACGATACAAGAACATCAAAACTGCATGAAATATGGAAGGCCGAATTTGGATTTCTTAAAGTGGAGATGGAAGCCAGATGGGTGCGAGTTGCCCCTCTTAGAACCAGCGGAGTTCCTAGACTTCATGAGGGGGAAGAACCTGGCTTTCATTGGAGACTCCTTGGCTAGAAACCAAATGCAGTCCTTGATGTGCCTTCTCTCTAGAGTAAGCTAATTTTAACGCATTTGTTTTTTCTAAGGAACTAAGGCTTCGTTTGGACGGCTTTTTTATTGTTTTTAAAATAAAATTTTAGTAAAAAATAAAAAATTTTGTACTAGAATTTCGCTTTAGAAAATAGTAAAAAAATCGTCCCAAACGAAGCCGTTGCTTTCTATTTTATAAGAGCAATTTTCTATTTGTTCACGCTTGAAATGGCAATTGGCAAGCATAGATAATGAGGGTCATATAATCGTGAGCAAACGCATATATTTCTTTAATGGTTATTTTATTACTTAGAGTTGTTGACGTGGATTATTTAATTTGATTAATTGGGTGTTATGATTGGATTTATTCAAAATTAATATAATATTTTGATTGATTATATATTGTTTTTATTTTAAAATATAATGTAATGATTATTAAATATTTTGTTCCAATTTCTCTCGTTAATGAATAAAGATAGGCACAAGACCTTCTCATTGACTTTGTTGAGCTATAATAAATTTGCTATTGTAACTAAAACTACATATATGAGAGATTAACTAAACTAAGTATCTATTTGGGACGACTATAGTATTTTATAAAGCTGATTGTGAAGTTGTTGCAGGTAAATTAACTTAGGCTTCATTTGAGACAATTTTCTTGCTGCTTCTTAAAACAAATTTTAATATAAAAATTAGTTTTCTTAACTAAAAATTTGATTTAATAAGCAGTAAGAAAGCCGTCCCAAACGATGTCATAGTTACTTTAGTTGCAAAAAACAGCTTTCCATTACAAAAAATTTTAAAAAATTATGAGAAAACAGTAACCGAACGAATTTCTAAATTTTGTTATCTGAAAAACAAAACAATGAGAAAATTGTCCGGACAAACAGACGCTAAGATATCCAATTTTATTTTCAGAGAGAGAAAACTAATACATCTAACAAAATAGAATAAATAATGCACACATATAATATCATCTTTTTATAAGAAAAAAACAAATGGATTTCATTAATGAAAAAAGAATTTTATTCAATGACAAGAACCTGAGAAGTCCAGCTACAAAGCATTTTAGATGGCAATATTCAATTGAACACAACAAATACATAAAGATATGGATATATACAACGAACAAAGATGATGTGTATTGATGTGATATTGGCTATTATGACAGTAGAAGAAAGCTTCATATTATCTTCTGTAGATGCCCCTATTGATTAAATATTTTTCTTCCACTAGCAAAGTTTTGTTCAAGTCTGGCTGTTTTCCATATAAAGTAGAACCAAATGAAATGGACAATCAACTAGCTAGTTATAAAATATCAGAGGCATGCTTGAAGCATACGCTAGTGAGGAAAGCAACGTTTGAACAATATCAAACACTTTAGCCATAACCTATAACCAGTATTATTAAATATAAGCCTTTTAAGTGGGTAATATATTTTGCCCTTTTTCTAACTTTTTTCTCATTTTTTTTTTATTTTAGTTAATATTTACTTATACCTCTTAGTTTTGATTTTTAACTAATTAAATTTTACTATTTAGCCACATTCAATAAATTAGAATATTATAATACAAAATGTATCAAGATAGGCTTCCAAGTTCTTGATTTTTTTATTTTTTGGACATGGTGAGCGCTTGAACTCAGCCTACCGATGTCCTATTTAGAAGAGTAGTTATATTTGATCTGATCTATATTAAAAAGTTGAAGGTATGCTTGAAAAGATTTGGCTAGAAAACATTAGAAATGAAATTTTTTATTAGATTTAAATGAAAATTTGACTCATAATAAAATACAATGAAAAAAAATGATGCACATAATCATCCCCACAGTGTGGGAAAAATTTTTAATGTTATTGTTGTCTCATAATAAAACACAATGAAGAAAAATGATTCACATAGTCAACCCCACAGTGTGGGAAAATTTTTTAATGTTATTGTTGTTGTTGCACTTGAAATTGTTTCCAATCATTGTATTATGAGTAAAATTTGAACGGTTCATGCTTTTGAGTTTATTCTGAGATTAGTGCAGTTCAAGATATCATATACATTATAGAACGCGTTAATCTTGATATAAATCTAAGAATTTTGAAACTCAGCTTTATATATTTTATAAATAAAATCTTCTCATATAAATTTTTTATATCTTGTTGTTGCACGTGAAATTGTTTCCAATCTTTGTATTATCAGTAAAATTTGAACGGTTCATGCTTTTGAGTTTATTCTGAGATTAGTGCAGTTCAAGATATCATATACATTATAGAACGCGTTAATCTTGATATAAATCTAAGAATTTTGAAACTCAGCTTTATATATTTTATAAATAAAATCTTCTCATATAAATTTTTTATATCTTTAGGTTGAGTATCCAGAAGAAATATGGCCTGCAGCAGAAAACGTGACACAAATGTTCTACAAAAATTACAATTTCACCATCTGGGCTTTCTGGTCCCCCTTCCTTATAAGAGCCCAGGAGACAAAGACAGTTAAGAACTACGACATGTGGAGCCTCTACCTTGACGAGCCCGACCCATTTTGGCAACCTTACTTGGCCCAATTTGACCTCATCGTCCTCAATACCGGCAACTGGTACAACCGACCCGCCCATTTTTTCGCCAAGCAAAAGCTCATCGGCTGCCACTATTGCCTCGTCAAGAACGTACCTTTCATGAGCTTATACAAAGCTCACCGAAGAGCCTTCCGCACTGCTCTCGACGCCATTGTTGACAACAAAAAGAGCTTTAAAGGGGTGACCATTGTGCGCACGGTTTCGCCGTCGCACTTTGAGAGAGGGGAGTGGAACAAAGGCGGGGATTGCAAGAGAACGAAGCCGTTTGGGCGGAGGCAGGCGAAGCTTAAAGGGATGGATTTGGAGTTGTATAAGGATCAGTTGAAGGAGTTTTGGAAGGCGAAGTGGGAGGGTAATGAGAAGGGATTGGAGTTCAGGTTGTTGGATACAACGCAGGCCATGGTGTTGAGGCCGGATGGGCATCCGAGCAGGTATGGCCATTGGCCGCATGAGAAGAGGGTTTTGTATAATGACTGTGTGCATTGGTGTCTTCCAGGGCCGGTGGATATGTGGAATGATTTGTTGTTTCAGGTGTTGAGTATCTGAGAAGATTGGGGGCAAGAGAAGGAAGATAAGCAATTTTTCATGATTCTTTTTAATTTTTTTATTCAATTTTACAATTGCCATTCTTTGACATTGAATGATGTATAAAATAGGATTTGAAGTTTTTTTTTTTCAGGTTTTTAATTTCTCTGTTATATCTGTGTTTAAGGATATCTTTATTCAGAATTCTTCTCAATAAAATTTCATGAATGTTGTTCCAAATAGTCATTATTTCTTTCAAAGCAAGTGCTACTTATAATTCTGTATCAATGTAAGAGATTTTTAATTACTCATAGCCGTTATTATCTCATTTTCTTAACACCTGCAAAGTATTGATCTTACCTTTTTTTCAGCAAATGTTGCTCTCTAAATCTCTATACTCTATGGCAGGCACAGCTAGCAAGTCTCTCAATATTGTTGTTTTGCTATAAATCGTTAGTCAAAAGTTGTAAAATTTCTCCCTACTATACTTGTGTGATAGAAATAGAGTATTCCTTTGGAAATAAGAAGAGTAATATACATTTTTTACTGAGAAACAAATATAAGCGTTTCAAAGCTACAACAAATAGCTTTACCAAATTATAAGTGTATATGTTTTACTCCTGGAAATTGCCAGCCTGAAGTGCGCCTTTTATTCCAATTTTAAGCATGCAAGACATCACAATTCAATGAGTTTCCTAAGAAAAGTGGTACTATTTTTTTTGGAACGGGGTATCTACCCACAGTTACTTCAAAGGAAGCGCTTGACGGCGTAACTAATCCCTCAGCAGAATTTTGCAAGGCCACTCACCGGCATTGGACCCGTATTTGTTTTGCTCCACTGAAGAGGTGAGGCCGTAATAGAGGAGATTCGAACCCAGAATGTAGAATTCCCAACTGTGTCCGGTGGGTGGAACAAGTTTTTCAAAATTCATCTTAGTGCATTCTTTGAAATCAAGTACTTATTAAGTACTATACAATTCAGTATTTGATAACGATGGTAAACAACACAATATGGACTGTAGTAAGGAAGTTGCTGTTACATGTTCAACGTCTTAAATAGGAAACATGTAGAACATAAGTACTGTTCAACATGTGAACTTTCATACATCACAGTCATCAAATGTATATTATATTCGCATAATAACGTACTTATAGTATGGCACAGCAACAGCAATTATTGTCAAAAGGAGCCTTATTTGAAACTATGTTCAGAGACTTAAATGAACGCATCCTAATGGGGTTTTAAAGAAACTAAGCAGCCAAATACAGGGATAAGGAAAAGAAAATAAGACAACTTAGTCTAAATTTTTTAACAGTACCGAGTTGTAATACACGTTAATCGGACCAGTCTCTCTCTGTAGAAGTCTTTCAATAACTCATTGCTCATGGCTATAGCTTTCACGAGGCCCACCACTGGGAAAGGAGATGGCTTTATCTACTGTAATCCATATTGGTTCTGGTACAGGTGCCCTTGCTGTTCCTTTCCAAAGTGGAACTACTCTGAAGTGGGTAAAGAACAAGCTTGCAAATCATAAGGTGTGTTTTGAACTGATATATTAGAGGGAGCTTGTAATCAGGATTTAGAGCCTGATTATAGATTGTCCATTATATATCTGTTCAAATACTTCTGTGATTGGGAAGTCTAATTTGGTCAATCATCTTAGATAAGATTTGGACTTGCTTTTTTAATATTGGTGGCTGCCACAAAGTCCTAATTGGAGATTAGGATGAAATCTTAAATGAAGGTTATCACAAAAATTTATAAGTGAGGCTACAAAAACTTCAATAGCAGTTGATCATTAACATTTGAACTATTCTGATGAAGGGGGTCGCTAGAAGGAGGTGATGCAGGTAAATTAGAACAATAATAAACCTTCAAGAAAACAATCATTCTATCATATAATCTCCTCAGCCCAAAATAACATATATATGACTAAACTTTATCAAGAGACCGAATTACCTCTTGCAGAAAAAACACCTAAAAAAGATAACTAAGGTAGTGGAGAATAACTAGAAAACAGAAATAACAGTAAGATAAATTGTGCCGTAAGATAATTCGTAGTATAAGATGCACTGCATCATATTCTTTATATAAATCTATGCAAACATCACTTGAATAGTATCTAGCAACAAAAAGCAACAATGAGATGAGAGGAACAGGTCGAATTCCGTCAAAAGGCGCTGCCCCCTAGACCCCTAATATATTTGCGAAGCATATAACGATCAAGGATATGAATAAAGAATCGTGCCAAATTCTATACTTTTACTAATAAGCTTGCCCCCCTGAAAATTATGGCTGATTTTGACCTGAGTTAGGATTGTCATTTGAGAAGAGGATTTTTTTTTGTGTGCATGCGATAGAAATTCTTTGGTTGCTACAAATAGGAAGAAATGTTGTTATTTATGATTCCAGCAAGTCAGGAAGATTTTGGTCATAGTAAGAAATAGTTCTCATATGAACTCCTACAATAGAGAAAGGAAGAGAGTAGCTAGAGCAAAAAATAACATCTCTTTCTTCATACTTGGCCCATATCTTCCCAATAGTCTGTTCCTTGCATCTTTTTGTTTCTCACTGAACACAAAGCCAAAACCTCATAGATAAACCCAAGAATAAAATATAATCCCACTTTAGCTTCCACTGTTCTCTGCACCCACGACCCTAAATCCAACTGTCGATCCTGTGTACATCTATGGAGCTCGACAGTTCAGCAATTCATGCCCAGCTGAATGAAGAACATATCTACTAAAGCTGAGTTAGTGTTTGATCCAATGAAAGGAGTCTCAGGCAAGGTCCTGCCAGATACTGAAACAGTTGAAGGTGACATGATTAATCTGTCAACAAGAATTACAAGTATGAAAATTGAATAATTGGCAAAAATAATCTTTATTTTTGAGCCTGAAAGTATCTGCTGCATATTTGGGTTTGAAAATAATGTTAATGGCACTTGTATGGGTAAATATTCCAGAAAATACTTCAGATATGTACTGCTCTTTTAAAGAACATACATGTTTCATTCTCTCCTCACTTTCCACTCTCTCTCTGTAGCTTTCCCCACCCATTATCTTCTATTCTCTTTTCCCACGCATTAATATGACAAATTATATATTATTGGAAAATTCACTAGATCAAATGCAGATTTTGATGTAATATTTTAAGTAAAAAATTTTGGAATAAAACTTAAGATCATTCAAACTCTGATTTCAATAAACTTATAAGTCAACAGGATGATCCAATGGGCCAAGTTCAACAACATCAATATTGTTTCAATCCAAATCCATAGGATCCCAAATCAAGCACTTAAAGATAAGTTGAAAACTTTGTAACAATTCAAAATTTTACTATTATTGATGTGAGAAGCAGACTCGATCCCAGCAAAGCGCCTGTCATTGCATTCTCTCCAGAGAAAATACATAGAGCAACAAATGACAAAATAATAGAAATTCTTCTGTGAAGAGCTAAAGTGCTGTAAATTATCTATAAATTCAAAAAGTTGCAGCAAAGTCGGTTTAAAAAGAAAATTCTCCATAATCGGAAGAACGAGAGAAACAACCATGAAAGAAAAATCACATTGAAACAGTAAACATTGAATGCTCTCATCTTCATAGGAGCAAAGCAAGAAAGTTTTGAGAACTTGAATATTCCTTTTAGCTAAAGTATCTGCAGTCTTATGGCCATCACGAATTGTGATCCAAGTGAAAGAAGAGAATTTGAGAGTTGAACATTTATGCCAAATGAATTTGTGCCAAAAGACAGGCTGCAAATCAGCAAAATAATGCATCAATAAGATCTTAAAATTAGGGGTATCTTCTCAATATAATCAATAGTAGAAGAGGGATGTTCTAGAATGGGGATGGAGGAAATTTTATGTTTAACTGGTAAAGGGAAATAATCTGGGATGACCTAGTCCCCTTGAACAATAAATTAATGCATGAAGAAGTGGGGGGAAGGAGGCGGCTGTATAAAATCAGCAACAGCCAAACCATCGCACCAAGAGTCCAGTACACAGACAATTTGCAATTCTCAGTAGTGATAAAGCTTAATTTTATCACTAATATGGCTAGCAATAATACAAATGAATCTTCAAATTTTGGAAGACTTACAAGGCGATTGTTTTCAAGGTGAGATATATTTAAACTGAAGCCAGTAAGACGCCAAAGTGTCATTGGAGAGCAGCCTCAAAATGAAAGAACAACCATAACCATGATAAAGGAAGAAATGTCAGGAATCCCCAAACCATCAAAACACTTAGGGAGGTAAGTTTTGCTTCAATCAATTAAGTACATTTTCTTATCAGATGTGGAGCCATGAAATTGAAACCTAGAACAAAGCTTGTCTAAGGTCTTGCAACAAGCTTTGGATATAATAGCCCCTATAATCTAGTAAGCAAGGTTGTTTGCAATAGTGAATCTCAGAATTTGAATCCGACCTACAAAAGACAAAAACTTAACTTTTCAACCAGCAAGTAGAGTAGAAATCCTACTCAGTAGTGGAAGGAAGTGAGCAATCTTAAGTTTTTTATTTGATATAGGAAGGCCTAGGTATTTCAGAATAAGGTCGGATTGAGAGAAACCGAGAATGTAAGTAATGTCATTAGCTACAGGGGTGTTGTGGGAGAATAGGATAGAGCATTTAGCACTGTTAATAAAAAACCCAGAGGAAGTTGCAAAGGATGTGAGAGTTTCATTAGGACATAAGGTATTTTGCACCAAGGCCAAACCAAAAACCAAAACATCATCAATATAAAGCAAATGATTACTATTTGACAGACCTCAGGGAACTCCGATAAAGCTACTAGCATACAGAGCACAAGAAAAAGCATTCTTCATAATGGAGAACAACAACAAAGAGAGAGGGCAGCCTTGCCACAGCCCAGAGAAAGAAATGAAATATCCTTCAAAAACACCATTAATGCAAATAGAGAAAGGAATATGATCCAACCCTTCAGCCAGTTGATGAATTTGATCAGAAAACCTTTAGCAAGTAATCAAGATATAATGAATTCTTGAGAAACTGTATCAAAAGCCTTTCTAATGTCGAGTTTAACATAGAGAAACTTCCTGTTTGTAAGAGTATCAAATTCATTCAAAATTTCAAAGGCTAGAACAATATTATCAAAAGAGATTGGACTCTAAATTTGCTTGCAATTAAACTTATGTTGATATAATTGGCCTCTAAATTTGGACTAATTTATTGACCCATTATGAAAGTTATCAAACAGGAGCATTCTTTTTTTTTCTCC